CAGGGTTCCCAGGATCGTTTCGCAGATTTGGAATACAGATTTGAGATCAGCGTTCGAAAACATCTACGGGGATATACATCTCATCTTGAATGGCCACTGCGACCAATTATCCTTCCCTTGTAAGCAGGAGCGTCGATTGCGGTCATTATATGTCAGAAGCTCTTTGACTGTAAGCGAACGTGGACATCAATCGATTTCACTATTGCTCAGGATGAAAGGTGGATGTCATGTAAAAATCCACACAGAAAATGGCCGGTGACAGGACCTCAGCCGCTACAGAGCAAGGCACTCATACCAGAAAGAGCATGAGCTCATTCTTACCCTGCTCAACCAGGTGTTTTACTATGCGAACCTACCAGAGTTTACTGCGGCGAACACAAGAATATTCTGTGAACAAGTGAGAACTTGGTGTTCTGAGCCCTCATTCACATCGACTACAGAGAAATTTCCGATCTTGATGGATTATGCTCGACCGCCACATGACAAAATTGGTAATTCAGTCTTGTGGCCTTCAAATTTAGCAGAGATGCAGGCTGCAGGATGGGAGGACTAATAGCGGATGGCAGCATTGGATGCCGGAGAGGGAGCAAGAGGGAAAATGGGGAATCCGGAATCGGTAATCCTGTCTGACGGTTTTCCAAAATACAAAGCGCTTATTCACAACTTACCTCCTTCACACGTGTAGCCATCATGTGTGGTAGGGGAACACTGTCCCGATTGGGTATTCAGCTGCGGGGATGTTGACCCATAGACCGATATGCTGCATCAATCTGTTGTGTAATTGACCGCTCAATCGCAACTTTGTTACCATTGGTCGCACAGTGCTCCAATTCTAAGAAAGTCAAGAAGATGCTTTGGGATTGATGCTGCAAACATAACGATTTTGACCAGTGTAGTTTTGTACCACTCGCAGGGTTGCTGCTAACTGCCCATTTCTCTAGAGAAGAAAAAAGGGGACCGATGATAGTCACAATGAGGCATTCAACCTCAACATATGAAGGACAGCCTGGCACAATTCGGGCCATCCAGCTGTCTTGTACGAATTCCATGTAGCTAACCGTGGAACAAATTCCATGTAACTAACCGTGGAGAGTTCGGTGGTTCGGCAGGATCTGAATATTTCTGTCCACTTCCTTATCATTGCAGACACTTATGCCTTCGAAAATGAAGATCTGTGTAGAACCCCTTTGCTTATGTGCATATCTTGAATTTCGAGTGAGGCTTCAACAAACAATACAATGGACACCAAAATCGTCAATTGTTATGTTAACAAATGCCTGCTTCGACGTGGCGGAAGAATGAATGAAGCGCAGTAAAGTATTCATTTCATCTTCTGTGAAGGACGCGTATTCCACAGTGGTAAGGGATAAACAAGGAAGTGAATGATTTCAAGACCCTCTCTTAATTTTAGGAATTGTCTTGGTTAATATATGAAGGCATAAACACATGCAGATGATCGTCAAGCACTTTGCTAGAAATGTGCGTTTTCGATAAACGGCTTATATGTATAGTGATTAGTTGGGGTGGAACAACGGTTTCCTCCATTCTTCTGGAAAGGGTGGTCACTGCACTGCTAGGGCAAGCTCCAGGTTATCTTCGAAAAAATTATTTATTTTAAGCCATGAGACGCGCCCGATATTATGCACAGGCCAATTGGTATATATACATATAATATAATATAATATAATATAATATAATATAATATAATATAATATAATATAATATAATATAATATAATATAATATAATATAATNATAAATAAATATATATATAATGATTTATGCATTGGTCAGCGATCAAGACTTTGTCTTAAGACTTTAGACTCAAACCATGTTCTGAGTCTAAAGTCTTTGGGCAAAGTCTTGCACGCTGATCACTCCCGTCTGAGTAATGCGCCAAAGCATTCAGCTCTCATTCAGAATCGTAGTGGCATATTGAATGCGCTGTGGTATGTATATGCCATATATATGCCACTATATATGCCACATATGTACATGTACATTTATATGTACAATGTCCATTTCAATAAATTCAAAGCTCTAATGAGAGAATAAGAGTGAAATCTATACGCGCATTCACAATAGCAAGCTAAAATCACATTTAAAATATTCCCTATTAGCACAGATAGAGGCTCAAGGTGTGCTCTTGAACTTCTCGCATTTGGCTTGCAGGTATCACTCCTTCAGTTTACGCCCTGCCATTCTTAATACTTGCTTTCGTGACTCCAAACTGGGACTGCAAATCCGAAAGGTTAACTTCTAAACAGGGAGCATAAGAAGACTCAATGGAGTTCAGATCGGGGTAGCAAGGTAGATATTCGTCTTCGTCAATCAAGTTGGACACGAATCCACGGGTCCTTCCGAAAAGTGGAGTCGGATCAACTCTCTAGTACACACATAAGTATGCTCTTCAAATGATCGTCTCTGTTAGTCTTCACGCCGCCATCGACAGAACCACGAGAGTGTCACCATTGCCCTTCACTCCCACAAAAAACATCGGTTCGCTAGACCTACAACTGTTTCGAGGGAAACTGAACTCTTGTTTTTCCTCTGCAGAACCCTTAAAATTTTCGAAAACCGGCTTTATCGTGTGAGTTTTCTCATGAGCGTAAGCGATAAAGGGATACGTGTTTCCTTTCAAGTGAGTTGGCAGCGTTCTGAATTTTTCGATTCAACAATATCTATTTTGATCGGAAAGGGAGTAACATTCCTGTATGGGATAGGAGTAGCAATATAGCTTTTGCTTGACAATCCACCCCATCGATACCTCTGTTAGTTTTGCTACCTTAGATCCTTCTGATGAGTCACCAAAGACTACGATCGACACGCGAAACGACTATTCTGAAGGTCCTATTTTTTGAAACACTGGCTTTTCAATCGCTCCCGAGTTTGTCTTCTATTAATTTAGCCTCTCTGTATCCTTTACTAGCTTTCCGTGTGATCATTATTGGAATCGCAAGATATTTTACTTGCCCTTCTTCTTCGC